CCTCCTCCTGTATATCACCATCTGCCTGTACTTTCTTTCTCCAAATCGTTTTATTCTGGTTTTCTCAGAAAGAAAAAAAAGGGTTCAAGCTCTGACTTACCATCACTATCACGGTGTCCTTCCATCTTAACAAAATAGTCTGATGAATCAGAAGAGGGCAAGGGCAAGGGTGTTACGTTCTGTGGCAGACAAATGTATACCAACAGGTGAACGAGTGCCCCAGGAGGTGCAGTTACATTGTATGCTGTGTAATTTGAGATAAGAGTGTCAAACACAGATTTCGCAAACAGTTGCAGGGTTGGGCCAGGCCAATACATGTGGGTCACTGATCCATCCATGCATTTGCAGTTATCACAAGTCAGCGTTCAGGGTATATTTGGGGTACTTTAATCGTAGATATATTTATTTGATGAACTACCTAGAAACTGTATTAGGAGTGCTGTGCAGTCATGGAAGACGAGTGCACAGACCTAAGATCTCTGTCCCATGTCATTCTTTGTTCAGGTCTTGTTCCATTGAATGGCAACACAGCTTAGAAGTGGCCTCCTTATTAACCCTTTAACGTGTGGTTGGCCTTTTTTCGCAGTCAAATTACTGTAATTAAACCACGCCACACCTGATTTTTAGCTGTTTTTTTTCTTCTTCCTCTCATTGAATGGAGTGTGTAATGGCAATTATATCCACTGGGTAGCAATGTTGGAAAAAAATATTTGTTGCTGAGACGAGCTGAATCTGAACCCGAAGTGTACTGTCATGACCTCTCATATGATGATAAAATGTATCTCTTCATTACCTCAGAAAAGTGGACAAACAGCTCATACTGCGCAGGATCATACAGCCTATTTCTTTCTTAAATGTATGTATTTTACCCTTATTTATACAGCCTGTGGTTTTACCTTCAGATAGGCATATCTTTAAAACAGTTTACTCTTTACATATTACGATTTGAACTATTAGTCCTGCTCATTATTTCTGAAATAGCCATCGTAGCTGATCCTTATTGAATAACACTATGCATTGAATAGCTACACCTGTCCAAAAGGGTAATAGTGAACTTAGCTATAAACATTACATTTTCTTTTCAATTATCGGACAAATATAACATGATAATGAGGCTGAAACTGAATTGATATATGTAAAGTTACATATTTATACATATTTTATTTAACATAGTAAACTTTAAGCCTTATAAATCACACTTTTGTAAATTTTTTTGCTAATTTATTTCTTAGTGTGACTGATAAAGGGTTAAATGGTTGGAGTATGAAAAGTGTTCAAACAAAATCAATAAATTCATTAATTGCCAAATATAAAATGAATCGGCAACTATTTTGATAACTGATAGTATTTTTTTAAGAAAAAATGGCAAAATTGTAAATGTAAAATGCTCCGTACTTGTATAGCACCTTTCTAGTCTTTTCAACTACTCAAAGCGCTTTTACACTGCATTCACCATTCACTCACATTCATACACTGGCGGAACAGCCGCCAGGGGCAATTCAGGGTTCATTATCTTGCCCAAGGACACTTTGACATGCAGCCTGGGGGAGCCGACCTTCCGATCGCCGACCGTCTGATTAACGGCCAACCCGCTCTTTCTCCTGAGCCACAGCCGCCCCATCCATTGTCTGATTCTAGCTTCTTAAATGTGATTTTTTTTCTGGTTTCTTTACTCCTCTAAACTGAATATCTTTGGATTGGGACAAAACAAGATGTCTGAGGACGTCAAGCTGGGCTTTAGTAAACACTGATCAACATTTTTCACCATTTTCTGACATTTTACAGAACAAACAACTAATAATCAACAGATTAATCGACAATGAAAATAATCGTTAGTTGCAGCCCTAATACCTTTGGGGAGTAGACCCGCAGGAAAACATGGTCTCTGGCCCTGCATATAATTCCTAATCTTTTCTCCAGGGTGTCATTAGGAAGCCAAACTGATCGAAGGATGCAAAACATATAAAACATTTACATTTTCTTCTGTGTTGAAGGTGTGACAAACTGATTAACTGAAAACCAAAATTCTTCCTGACTTGAGCAGCTTACCACTGATTTAGAAAAAGATGAGCAAGAAAGTGAGGGAAGTGCAGCAGCAAGGCAGGGAGGGAAAGTGGCTCACAGTAGCTGAGCTCCATGCTAACCCAGCTAGGGGATTAAGGTGGCACTGCCTCTAGTAAAGCATGTTGAGTATATTAACAGTAGCTACAGTAAAAAAAACTCAACTGAATTAGGGAGTGATATACCACCATTATGTATTAATATTTAAAAGGGTGTCTTGTGTAAACATTGTTTTTTATTATTCCAAAAGTATGCAGAAACCTTGGAATATACAGATTTAAAAATAGATTTAGAGCTGAAGCCAGAAGCCACTAAAAGAGGTACTGGCTGTCTGTTCTTGGGGGAAAAAAACAATGTGAAGAAATTATAAAAGCACAGTATAGAGAGTTATATATAGATGGCTATATGTCTTACTGGCAAATGCCACTGTAGATTATGGTATGTTGCTGCTGTGTGCAACATAAAAAAAGCTTGTCACTCCTGTTCCACTGACAGACACTCCTCCCCCACCGACCACAGACTGTATATAAAAATGACTGACATGACAGCTCTCCAAAAGTGAAGCCAAAACGTATTGATTGGTCTGGAGACTGGTGGCTCCAAATGACATCACCAGCGCCTCGATTCGGGATATTTTATGGCTTTTGTTTTTCATCTTTATATACAGTCTGCGCCACCGACATGTACCAGTGGTGTGCCATTCTTTCTTTAGTATTATATATAGATTCTTAGTGGGATGCCACTTTGATTATATGCTGCTGCTGTTTGACTGGCATATGAAAAATGGCAAGACACTAATTCTAACTAGCATATGTCATTGCTATGGCGACAGTATGCCTAAACAACTGCTGTTCCACTGACATATACCACTTCTCACGTTAAAAAATATCACTTTTGACATAATGCCGTTGATAAAAACGACCTCTTTCAGGAGCATTTTTTCTTATATTTGTGAAATTCTATTTATAACCTGACAGTAATAAATAAGTCAAATGCTCTGACGCAAAAATGTAAAAAACCTAGAATATTAGGATGCAAGATAATTTAATAATTATAATATGACCGCATGGGGAACCTTTGAACCTATCTATTAACCTAATATCGTCGCTGTCGGGCAGAAACCTCCTATCTCCACATTTAATCATTTTTATTTTTTTAAATAAATCAGTGTTATTGGTCACCCTTTACGTCTGTCTGTGGTTTTTACAAATATTTTAGCAATACAAAGTATAAAAACAGCTCGTGACTCTCAATGATGCCGTGTTCAATTATAATAAAAACACAGGGTTTTTTTTAATTTCCTGAAAAATCACGAGTTGGGACATAGAAGGTTTGTGCCCGACAGCGACGATATTTAAATAACTATTGATTTGTGTTGTTGGCCAGAGAAAAGAAAAACATAGGATCATTTTTCAGTGATATGCTACACTAATAATAGTAGTAGTGTTTTCCTCTGTGTGCGCATATCAGATACAAGTACAATTGTGGCTGTGTTATTTGTGTCCCCTTAAAAAAATTGCACTCGACAAATTTTATGTTTATTGCCCCCCCCCAAACTGTTAAATAAAATGTATGTTCGTGAGCAGCATATGCCAGTAAGCGGGAGTGGAATCTGCCAGTAAAACACAATTGACATCTTTGCCATATGCCAGTAAGAGCCAACAGTCAGCACTCTATGTGTTGTGTGTTGGAGGGTGCCAAAGTCATGCATTTTAAAATTTTACACATAGCAGCTTTTCTGAAGGTTTTTGGTAATGGAATATGCAGTAAAAAAAAAAGACCAGCAATCTGGAAGGCATCATCTGAGGGCACCTAAGACGTTTAAAAAAGGGCTTTAAACATTTCTTTATCTTGGTTATTATTATTTATTCTCAGTTATCTGCTCACAGAACTCGCTCTTTCTCTGCTAATTTGTGTTTTTAATATTAACATCTCAGACTTTACCTAATCACTGATTATTTTACCTTTTCACTTAATGTATATTTACTTTATAACTTTTCTTGCCTGTGTATTTGTGTATCACTGCAACTGCTGCAGATTTCTTTTAACACCCTGTATAGCTTTAACACCATTAATCTTTCAGATGGTAGGCTGAATTAACTTTAAAATAAACTCTGTGTACAGTGTTTGAGCAGTGAACTCCCTGTTCAAACCTGAACAAAACTTAAACTCCCAGTTCACCAGAATAGCAAGCGATCAATAGTAAACACTGCAAGGTTTGAAGTTCCAGTCCCCTGAAAATAGATGGAACAAATATTCCTGCTTCTCTAAAGGGTTCAGGCCTTAGGGAACTGTGTAACAAAATAAAACCTGACCCAAAAATATGTCAATGTGTTTTTTCTCTCATCTAAACAGCCGTGGTCCAAATAAAGATCTCTTTTCTGAGTTGATCATGGAGAACACAGTCCACAGAAGCCTGTTGTCAGGGATTAAGTAGCTGCTATATTTGCCAAAGAAAATCCTGCGCTCAGTTTTGCATCATGTAAAGAGGTGACATTCACATCCAGCAGGTCACTGAGTCCAGCAGGCTCTTCACACTGCATAGCGGCTTTTTGACCTGTGCAAACAATTTGATTTGGACAGGTCAGATCAAATTAAGCAACAGAGCTGACAGCAGCGGCAGCGAGAAGTCAGAGCCTGGGTGTGCAGCGTGTGAACCGTGACAAGGTTTCTCTAATTGGGTCCATGTTTATTTCATTCACCAGTGAATGTGATAATCTGCTGTTGACTGTGAGCCAGGTGGTAAAAGCAAAAATCTATAAATGTACTGAATATTAAAAAATATAATAGAGAATCTGTTTGAAGTACACCATGGGGCTACAACTGTGCATCAGGAAGGTGTTTCTAATATTTAGTAGTCAGTAGATAGCGGAAAATCCAGTGCCTGGATTCATTTCTCCAATTATCCATCCATCCATCCATCCATCCATTTTTAGTACCTGGACAGAGGGAACCATGAGGAAGATGAGGGCAGCCCTCCAGAGGATAAATGACTCCATGTTCATCTGGATTTTTCCCCAGGTCAGGGTCTCTTTCCAGCTGGGTGAGCCCCAACCTGTGTACAGGAAGTGGACACATCAAATTAAAATATTTCTGCAGCAGCACAATTGTCGACTGTGATATTAATGACTAAATCAAAAAAAAGACTAATGTGTCTGGTTTGTCATGGTGAAATGACTAGTTAAAAAGGCTTATTAAGCTACTAGCAAACCTCGGGGCAAAATGGAGCTGTGGACCTCAATTACCCCACCCACCCCACAAAATAAATCCCCTACTCTGTGAATTGTGTATGTATTAATAATAATAATAACTTTATTTATATAGCAATATTAAAAACAAAGTGCTTCGCAGTAAAAACAAATAATAAAATTATATATATAGAATATAAAACACTATAAAATTATTTACAAATTCTATCAATTAAGAAAAAGATAAAAGTGAAATTTTTGAGTGGAGATCTTAGAACCATTAGTAGGTGCCAGAGGATCTCACGCAGTGATCAGGCTCATAGGGAGTTAACAGATCACGGAACATTCAAAGCTTTCAAAATGAGCAGTAAAATCTTAAAATCAATTCTAAAACTCACAGGTAACCTTTGCTTGCTTAGCAAGTGAAAGGAATTATCTGTTAAATGCCTCAATCGTACAAAGCAGGACAGCATCACTTTACCTGAGCACCAAAATGAAACTCAGAAATAATGTTTTTTAACATTATTTAATAAGGCGCCCAGACTAGACGAGAGATCCCTAATGCTGCTTGTGTTGAAGCTCCAGTGGGTATAATTATAATTATTTCTAATTTTGAGTCATTCAACTGCAGGACATTTATGGACATCTGATTCTTAATTTCAGAGAGGCAGGACATAATTAATAGCACATCGGTGGTCCAGGCTTTATCGGGTTTAAAAGTTGTATCATCTGCATAGCAATGAAAATCACTCTACGAGTGAGCTCCCCAGGGGAAGCATTCAATAGTAAATAAAACAGGACACAAAATAAAAATCCCTGTGGGACTCCACAAAAGAGAGGAGCATGAGATACAAGCATAACAGAGAAGGACTTTTTTGGCAGATAAGAGATGAACTGAAATAAAGTCCTTAAAGGGACCCTGTAGTCAGCCTGTGAAAACAGTTGTGTAATGTCCTCTACATTTCTGGAGGAACTTTGTCAAGTCTGAGAAAATAACCATGATGTCATTAGGGTTGAGTACCAAAACCTGGTGCTAAAATGGAACCAGTTCCAATTTGACCGGTCCTTACCAGACCAAATTAAAATGCACATTTAGGTGCCTTATTTTGGCACCACTTAAAAGTGTCGATTGAAATATTTTCACTCTGGTGCTCCGAAACAGACTTAAGAAGCTGCGCCATTATTCACCGTAGTAACGTTACCAAATGTAGCGTTCCTCAATGAAATCTTCTTCTTTATTAATGCTGCAACAATACAGGCTACCGTGAGCCACAGCCTACGCCAAAGAAACAACCCTGGCTCAGCAGAGAACATGTGTTAAAGTCTCTCGCTCTTCACCCTCTCTGTCCTCAGGCTAACACACTTTCTTCCAGGCTAGCAGGAACTACAACAACCGCCCCCTTTAACTCTCTGCCAATCACATGTAGGAAAATAAACGATTGACAGGCTCCTACACATATCACACATTCACTGACAGCCATGACACATTTACTGACCTCCCGGAAACACTGGAGAAAACCGTAACAATATAATTTTCTCAGGCACAATTAGGGACCATTTTAAAAGCTGATCCCATTTGGCACTGGAATTGTAAAAAAACGATACCCAACCCTAGATGTCATTTAAATGTCATCAGCTTGTCTCAGTTTGGGCTTAGACTACAAATATATGACGAAAATCGATGTTTTACACTCCACAATCCCAATTTGAGGAGTGTAAAAGACACTGTCATTTACTAAGCAAGGATAAAAGATGCTACTGGGTTGCATTATAGAAAATTGAAAATCCAGAATTTTTGGAGCTTGACCCATACCAGGTGCTAAAAGGATATCTCTGCACCAAATTTGAGCATTCTTTGAACGCAGGGGTCCTCCACAAGGTGAGGCCTCAAGATTATGTAATAATAAAAGGTGCTACATTGTTTTATCCTTATCATGGCCATTTAGAATCTGATTGATGATGATGCATACAACATTACCAAACAAATTAGCAATTAATCAAATTATCACAAAGTATTACCACAGGGATGTATCAGGAGTATCTCTCAGGTCAGAAGCACTTTGCTTGGATTGTAATCCTGCCATTATAATCAATATATACACATATATAATTATGAATTAGTAGGTGGAGCTTTTTTTATATTAGTTTTTATTGCAGGACAAAAAGGCAGAATGTTATTTGATACTCAAACTTGCTAATCTAATAATCATTTTCATCCATTAATACAAAAGCACCACACAATAGATTGTTATAGCAACATAGAGATGTGCTTTTCTTTATTTCATATGATAGTAAATTAAATCTCTTTGTGTTTCTGGACTGTTTGTTTTTAGAGTTATATCAAAATATTAATTTGGAATATTGGGATTTTTTATGGACATTGTATTATTTTTGAATTATAGCCTATTCTAATCTTATAATCTATACATATATTATTATTTTTGATTGATGGGATTAATCCATAATGAAAATAATACAAATTGGTAGTTAAAATTCTATTGGTGAAGGCAAACTCATTGCAATGTCACACAGCAAGCCTCTATGAGTATTAGGCTTCATAGAGTTCTTGCTGTTAGTGAAGTCCACCTGCATCCAGAAACTGTACAGTGGCACAGCGAGAGCAGGGAGGGTGTGTGTTTTTTTTCAACAGCGAGTTTCTAAGTTTTTACACGTAAAGCGACGCTTCCACACAATGGCTCTGTTTTTGGAATCATGCGCATCAGCAGCTCCGAGACCTGACTCGGTGAATTTGACAATAACCGGTCTTTTTGGACGGCAGCAGCCGCAGGTTGACGGCGGTGCTTTCAGTCGGACGTGAGTGTTTGTTTGGGAAGAAATAAACACCTTACCTTTTGAGGGAGGAGAGGTCATGCGCTCATATGGAGATGCATCAGTTATTCTCCAAAAACAGCCCAATAATCCACGACCCTGATTCTCAGAAGCCACACCCTGGGCCAAAGACAGAAACGTCCAAAAAGTGACCGAGAGAGACGAGTGAGGTGTCAGAGAGATGAACGCGCCGGTACTTTGTGTCTCCGGTAAAGTGTCTCCACAGCACGTCTGCCTGCCTGACACACAACTTGGGACCAGAGTCAGGTTAGACACAGACACAGGCTACAGCTTCCGCTCATCACTTTCAAAGTAAAAACCAAAGCCAAACCTACTGCTTTAGCTGGTGCTACTCTCTTCATTTAGTCATGAAGGCTATTATTTATTTATTTATGTTAATAACTCATCAGTAGGCTAATACTCTCACCAAAGAGGCTAACATGCTTTGTCTTTGTCCCCCAGTTAAGTTAACATGTGGTAAAAGCCCAGTTAACATGTCCATTTTTTCTGTTTCATTATGTAAATTGGAACGTCAAACTGTAAATACATGAACTTGCTTTTCACTTTTGCAGGTAACATTCTGGCATTCTTACTGTTCATAGAAATTAGGGTAACTCTTGAACATGCATTTTAATTATTATTTATACGTAAATCAGAGGAAAATGTGTCTATTTTGCCTATCATATTTGGAATTTTAAAATCTCACCTTACAGATTCCACTGAGTAAGCAGCTATGATTACGTTTTTATTGTATACACCTCCTTCTCAATATCATTTAACGTCCATGGTGATTAAAAACATGCTTTAATTTTGAAGGGTAAAAGAGATCTTTTCCGGCTGCAGCCTGGTTGTCTCTAGCAACTTGACGGAGCGCTGTGCAGGCAGCCTGATGACCAACCCCTCTGTCCCATGTGGTGTGGAGGAGCAGTAAGCATATGGAGGAGCAGTCATATCCATCACTTTAATATTCCTGTAGTCAGAGTGTGTACCATTCAGTGTAGAGCTGCACATGTAGCTCACCCATGTAGCTGTCTGTAGTGTAATACTCATAATGTTCATAGCCATGAGGCATAGACCTTCAGTACTACTTCACCATTTCTATATTACATATTTGCAGTGAAATATAGGAGCATTCTCATCGTCGTCGTCACCCCCTCTTAATTTACAATTTTTGTATCAAGTGTAGTCCTTTAAGGGATAGTTCGGGATTTTGAAGTGGGGCTGTATGAGGTTCTTATCCATAGTCAGTGTATTACCTTTGGAATATTTTCAGCGCTTTGCCTTGCCCTTAGACAGCCATTTCTTTTGGAACTACATTTTCTCAACCGTAGAACTTCTGCATTCCTACGCATAAAAGGAAATGGCTGTCTGACAGCAAGCTAATGCGCTGACAACCTCACCTACAAAGCCCTGAATCATAAGGCTCCATCTAACTTCAAGAGCTCATAGTACCTTACTACCCCACCAGAGCACTGCGCTCCCAGAATGCAGGGTTACTTGTGGTTCCTAGAGTCTCCAAAAGTAGACTAGGAGCCAGAGCGTTCAGCTATCAAGCTCCTCTCCTGTGGAACCAGGTTCCAGTTTGGGTTCAGGAGGCAGACACCATCTCCACATTTAAGAGTAGGCTTAAGACTTTCCTCTTTGATAAAGCTTATAGTTAGGGCTGGCTCAGGTGAGTCCTGAACCATCCCTTAGTTATCATAGGCCTAGACTGCCGGGGGACTTCCCATGATGCACTGAGCTTCTCTCTCCACCTCCTCTCTTTCCATCTGTATGCATTCTTATCCCATTAATGCATGTTACTAACTCGACTTCTTCCCTCTCCTGTAGTTTTGTGCTTTCTCTTCCCTCGCCTCTATGCTCCTTTTGCAGGTTCTGCCTCCAGACCTCTAGAGTCTGGATCTGTTGTTGTGGGCTGCCTGCTGCCCCCATGTTCCTGCTTGACACTGGCTACCACATCATTAATAATACATTTACACATTTTCATTGATATATATTGATATATTGATTACCACTACCATTACTATTATTTTGCAACTCTATGTGAACCTTGCTTTGGGCTACTGGATGTTCTTTTCCCTCCTGCTCTCTCTCTCTCTTTGTCTCTCTGTCTGTCTTTCTTGGCGCTATGTAAATAAAACTGAATCAAACTGAATAGTATTACAGTTTTTTTCAATTGCTAACCTGCATTGGTCAAAACTGAAGTCACATTGCCGAAACTCTTCACACAGTCAGTGAAACAGAAGTGTATGTGGACCAAACTGTGAATCATTTTTCATTGCTTTCACACAAAATGCATTCAATGACCACTTTCTCCAAAATCCATGAACTCTTTTCTCTTTACTACTTCACCACCTGCAAAACACTGTACTGGACATCTGCATTTTTCAAATGCTAACACACTGTGTCCAAAACTGTTCAAAACACGTTTAAAACAAAATGTTTGCAAATATCCTGCATTTTTGCTGTAGCTGGACAGATATACAGCATATAGAAAATCTTTGCAGAACATTTACATCCATTTTATGTTTTAGAGAAATATGTGTGATGTTTTGAATGTGGTTTTACTGTTAAACTGCAAGCTGAATGTAAAGCAAGAAATGTGCTTATATTTTAGCAGAATTGGTTCAAGGGGTTGGTACATCAATTACAGACTGTGGTCATTGGGTCTCAGGTACCAGTGTTAACTATGTAAACAACTGAAAAAAAGTGTATTGCAGCACTGAAATGTCAGGAACTTCTTTTTTTCACAAGTAAATTACTGAATGCATTTATGATTCATTCTTGTAACATATACTATAGTACAGTCAATAAAGTGAAAATATGTTACAGGTTTCTTACATTTTTTCTCAGTTGCTTTGGTACATTTGCAAAACTATTTCTATTGGTAAACTATGGCTAAACTTTTGATGACTGATTGAAAATGCACAAGGCTGTACTTTTTCTGTATGGCATAGATCAATCTCAACAGTACAGAGTTACAGTAAACATTGCAAGAGACTGGACAGGATTCACAGTTACACAACAAAGAACCATTATAATAATAATAATAATAATCTTTATTTGTAGAGCACTTTTCAAAAACAAGTCACAAAGTGCTTTAACAAGTGTAAAGACAATAATACCCAAAAGACAATAATACAAAAACAATACAAGATAAAAGCAAGAAAACATTGAAAAGACTAAAATACACGTTTAAGATAAATATAAAATTAGTAAAATAGAATAAAATAAAAGGGATAAAATAAAGTCAAATAAGATCGGGAAAGGCTCTCCTATAGAAGTATGTTTTAAGAAGGGACTTAAAAGAGTTCACTGACTCAGCCGACCTGATTTCCTCGGGCAGGCTGTTCCAGAGCCTCGGGGCCCTGACAGCAAACGCTCTGTGCCCTTTAGTTTTCAGTCGAGACTCTGGAACAGACAACAGACCTCTGCCCGAGGATCTCAAGGTACGTGCTGGTGCGTATGGGACTAAAAGGTCAGAAATATAACAAGGCGAGAGGCCATGAAGAGCTTTAAAAGTAATCAATAAAATTTTAAAGTCAATTCTAAAACATACTGGGAGCCAGGGTAATGAAGCTAAAATAGGAGTAATGTGGTCATATTTCTTTGTTCTGGTTAAAAGCCTGGCAGCTGAGTTCTGGACAGTCTGGAGTCCATCAATAGATTTTTGGGTTAAACAGGTGAAAAGGCTGTTGCAATAATCCAGGCGTGATGAAGGTGTGAAAAATGGTCTCGGTGTCCTTAAAAGTTTACATAGATCGAATTTTAGCTATATTTCTAAGTTGATAAAAACATGATTGAACAAGCTTTGTGGTGTGCTGCTCGAAATTTAAATTACTATCAAACCAGACACCAAGGTTCTTTGCCACAGGCTTAATGTGATTTACTAGGGAACCAGCAGATGGCAGTTTACTGTAATACATTGTGATCAACATGACATACAGTAAGCAATTGATAATGTAGGAAACAGCAGACAAATGTACATAATAATTTGCATAAATGTGTCAAAGCATGTGCAATTCGCAATTTCTCAAAAGAAGAAATTGCTTTTACATATGATGTGCACAAGCGACTAGATGATGTGGAGGCTGAACAAGTAGAATTTCAATTCTGATCTGAGAAATGTATCAAAGTGACTGAAAACAACTGGATTCTATAATGAAATACTGATTTATATGAAAATATCAGTGACATTTCAAGGATAAAAGTTCAACAAATGTACGTAATGCTTCCTGTTGTTAGTGTTTTATAGGTCAGTGTGTTATGAGTGACAGTGTATGCTTTCTGAGTGGGTATTGTTGTCAGTGTTTTGGTTGAATGAGTTTATTTTGAGGCTTATGACGTGTTTTGGTGGTTTGAGTGACTTCTGGAGGTGAGATTAACTGTTTGGCCAGGTTGGTAATGCAGACTGTGTGAACAGTTTTGAAAAAGTGGCTTCAGTTTTGACCATTGCATCTTAGCAATTGAAAAAAACTGTAATCACTATTCAATTGTGACATTATGGTAACCAAGGCCAAATGAACAACTGGGCAAAGTAGGCACCTGTCTCAGGCACCAGCCCCTATGGGGACCTCAGACGGCTCAGGTTCAATGTGTGGAGACTGGTAGTCATATTAATTCACTTTGTTTGAAAAAAATGAACTAAAAGCAAAACACCAACTGACATGATAAGGGCGTTAAACTGCCTTAATATCAAAACCTTTTAAGACCTTAAGTTTTTTCAGCTGATGTTGAGTTTACATGGTGCAAATCCCTGTATTAATTTGTGATTAATCAAATGATCACACAGCAAACCCAGGCTCATGTAATATTCCAGAAATAAGGTACAGAATGCATATAGAAGGGGAGGAATGGGAGGAGCCAAGCAGTTAAATTTCCCCCCAGGGGCTGCAGGTTAACCCAGCAGTGATGGAAATATTATCATTCTTCTTCATGTTTTCAGGATGTAATTTAAATTTGACGTTTAAATTCAAAGGTGATATTTGTGTTGGAGGAATGTACATTTCTCTGTACTGTACGGATAGGAGCACGAGTCTTCAAACTATTCTTAAAAGATTAATTGGTCACTGTAGTCTGTCCTTCTGGGCGTGAAGTGATCCCTTACTGAATAATTTCAGTGTGTGAGATGGGGGTGGGGGGGCAAAATCCACAGTCCTCGTGTACAAAAAGGAATTCTGAAGTTTAGCTGAGGCCAAAATGAGGCTTCAACAGTCTGAGTCTGACCAAGTGATTTAGTACAGAGTTCCCTCCTTGTGTTTTGCCAGACGTATTTTACCCCTTGTATATTACACACTGTACAAGTTTCATTTTATATTTTGTAATGCTTGTATAGAATAAATTACCCAACAACATAAGTAGTTAAAAGTAGAGCATGAGAATTCATTCTTGACATTGGAAACAGTAGTTTGACAAAAATAAACTATCAAATAAATACCTACAGTACATAGTCATATATACATAAAAAAACCAAAAGTCAAACAAGTTAAAATCAGCTACAGCTCGACCAGTGACAACTTAATGTCTGCTTACATATCAATGCATCATAATCCAGTATTATAGTATATAATACAGAAACACTGAGAAGGCTAATTCATATTGACAGCTTTTATTTTTTAAACTATTTCCTAGGGACAGAATTCTGCTGCTGCAAACAACTAATGGACATTTAACCACCATAATTATCATGATCCCCACCAGCAAGTATTCTATGCAGGCCCATTTTCTTGTCAACAAAAACTGCAAAAAGGTCAGAACCAACAATGACTTGATCCTAATAACAAGTAGTGTGTGTGTGTGTGTGTGTGTGTGTGTGTGTGTGTGTGTGTGTGTGTGTGTGTGTGTGTGTGTGTGTGTGTTTCCAGAGCCTGACCTTATTGCCATAGAGATCCATTGTTAGTTACAGCAGTGAGCCACACTACTGGGTGACATGTTCCTTCATTAATCACACACACAGTACACTGTCCCGCTGCTGGAAAAATTCATCAAACCACCCAACAATCCGCCGCTGGAAATAGTTCCCAACAAATGCATTATTTCCTGCTGTTTGAGTAACATTTAAAATGAACAGTCCCAAAGGAACTGAGCTTTTTTTTAAAAATGAAACTACATTTGACCTGATTTAATTTTTCAATAGGAACCAATGGGCTTAGAGCTGAGTGCCACAGACAGGGCTGGGAAGTCTGAAAGTATACACACACACAGAGTCTAGCACACACAGCACCACCGGCAGGCCTTTATTATGAGGTGAAGAATGGGAGTTGGCAGTGTATGAAGGGACTGGTTTTGACTTTGACTAATGAGAACATCAAAAGGCTTCACTCAGCAAATGACCTCAAGGTCCTCAACTGTGCACAACTGTGCTCTATGGAAACATGCTGGATGTATGCAGGGCCGATGGATGACAGATTGGACTGAAGGATGGTTTTGTACTTTTATTTGGTATTATAACAATACATGTATGCAGTTGTACATAAACTGTATATTCAGTTTCATAGTCAGTCAATGTGTCAGTATAACAATAATTTCGAAGCAGCAGTGTGTGAATAGATGGACGCCACTTTGTACAAACTGAATTATTCTATTGATAAACATGTGTGTGATGGAGGTCTGGCGCCCCCTCTCATCCAGACACGTGCAACAACATTTAAAGAGAAATATACTCCCAGCAATCACTAATTGCAATTATCATCTTAGTAATTATCGGCCTTTCTGTGTGGAGTTTCCAGTTTCTCCCTGTGTCTGCGTAGGTGCTCCGGCTTCCTCCCACCGTCCAAACACATGCGGCCTATGTTGATTGGTGACCCTAAATTGTCCTTAGGTGTGAGCGTGAGTGGCTGTTTGTCTATGTGTGGCCCTGCGATGGACTGGTGATGTCAGCTGGGATTGGCTCCAGCCCCCTGCACGCAGGATAAGCGGTTGACAATGGATGGATCTTAATAATTATGACTTTGCACATTTCACTTATTTTTCATTTGAAACGTGGTCATGAATCAAGGTCATTTATTTATAACAGAGGCTACGTATATTAATTTAGAATATATTGGCCTAATATCCATCCATCCAGCGTCAACCGGATACTACAGGGTCACGCGGAGGGGAGCCAATCCCAGCTGACGTCAGGAGAAAGGCATGGTGCGCCCTGGACAGGTCTAAAATATAATATAACACAATAAAAATAAAGAAAATAAAACAATAGCTAACCTACAGTTATTTACATTTATAAATGAAAACTTAATAATTATGCAGTGTAATTGTTTTATTTGCGTCTGGGGGGATGTAAGCAGCAGCAACTAGATAGTGTTGATAATATAGCTCAACATTTAAAAAAGACATCTGGGAAACGTTGCCAATCAACTTTGACCAGTGTGAACACAATGCATCACTGATGTACTGAAAACACAGAGCCCGCCTCCCTGTCACCTGGTCAGCTTTATAGACACTGTCCTGAACTGGATGTGTTAACGTTTTTATTTAATATTTGTCTTCGAGATTTGCAATTAAAAATCTGGGATAATAAACTTCCCCTTTAAATGTAGTCTTGTGATAAGTGACATCAGCTCCCGGCTCGAGGCCAGTCATCTCTATCAGCTGAGTCCTGCAGGAATTCCTCCAGTCATGCAAAACAGTTACACTAAAAAAGAACGGAAGGTTTCCGGTTATGCCTTCAAAGTAAAGTCGTAAAAACGTATCATTCACTACTGTAGTTTTAACGGTACTGTTTTCATTTGATGTAATTTTCCCACAAAAGTTCAGTGGTTCACACTTACAATACCAGACATCACAGGGGTTTTATGTATTTCAACATTACCCAATACTACCCTCTGTCATACTGTTCACTTTATGTATATATATATTTTTGCTTATGTACATATCTAGTATTTTTATATTTCCTTCCTTCTCAGTAGCCTACATAACATCTTTTTCATCACTTTTTATTTATTTATCACTTACTCTGTTCCATTTAAAAGAGACATTTTTTTAGACAACTTTATTTTTCAAATTCTGTCTGATGCCTTCTTTATAGATTGACTAATTTCATCTTTCATAATCTCCTTTTCCTTTTCTTTTTTTTACTAACCAGCTCTATCACAATGTTTCTTCTCTTATGTGTAATCTGTATAAATTTGTTTGTAGCTTGTGCTAATTATTTACTTACAGTACTATTGGTCTACAGCAGGGTTTTTTTTTTTTTAAAGAGTGAGGTGGGTCTCCCCAGGGGGGCTCCAAACAGTTTCAGAGGAGGCTCAGTGAGTGGAAATGAAACAATATTGCATTAGTTATCAAAAGGAGATCACATAGAATAGCCTACATGTGTGAGAGCTCAGAGATACAGTAGTTTTTGTACAGTAGTTAAAAATATTAGGTGTAGTCAGACGTTATGTCAAACAGCAATATTAAGCTATTTTGGCTCAAATGTTGAGTGTCTATGGGATCAAATAATATAATCATGATCCCATAGACATCCAGGAACTGAGCGAAACTTATCAAGTAAACTTATTCTTACTTAGTTTATCCTTTTTTTGAGAAATACAATTTATCTTTCTTACCCAGCGGGCTGAGACAGCAGGGTGATGGTTTTGAACTCTTATTTGGGCTTGTTGAATTGCCTGCATTATAAGCATTAATACAATAACAGTATATCCAGTTACACAGGCAGTCGATGTGACAGTCCGTTTAACAGTCTTTAATTAGGCTTCGCACAAAAACATCCGTCAACACAGTATTATTTTGAAAATCACACCCGGAAATGTTATGCGTGATTTAGGCTGACTTCACGCGGCTCTTGACCACTGCGTGTCGGCTCGTCAGATTTGATTAATTTCAGCTGTGGACATCTTTAAACAGGACAAGGGGCAGTTTACAAGCACAGAGGAGCAGATCCAGGTTTTTCATGCACTTTACGGGACTGGACGAATGTGACTTTTATTCATTTTAAATACTACGTACATCCCTAGTTCGGATGGGTGCACCTTACTGCGGCCCATAGTTGTGTATATGTGTTTTAGACGCGACTACAGGATCTAGATCACTTGTGGACCCTGACTGCTGGAGTGTCCAGCCCACCACCATCATGGCCTCTGCCACCTCCACCCCCGCCGCCTCTGCAGGCCGCTCCAGCCGCTCCGCCAGCCGCCGCAGCGCAGCCGCGTCCAGCAGCAGTCCGACCTGCCTGTCCCGCACCCAGGAGAAAGATGAGCTCCGTAACCTCAACGACCGCCTCGCTAACTACATCCAGCGGGTTCAGGAGCTGGAAAGCGAAAGATCATCCATGCTTATTCAGCTGGAGGAAAAAGATGAATCGAAGAGCCGGGAGATGGGCAACGTGCGGCGGCTGTACGAGGAGGAGTTGGCAGACGTCAGGAAGTCCCTGGACAGCCTGGCCGGAGAGCGGGCCCGTTTGCAGATAGACTACGGGAACCTCTGCGATGAGTACAGGAAACTTCAAGCCAGGCAGGTTATAGCCACACATGACCGTGCAGGTTTTGAGGAAGCTGTTAAGCCAGATTCTCCTCAAAAATTGGCTTATTTAATGCAGTCATGCATGTCGTTTGACGCACACACATGCAGAACACATACCGAGAAATGTCTAAAATTGCTTCACATCAGGCTGCTGTTCGGGTGAATCTATAGCCCGAGCGGCAGGGTATCCTACGTTTCCCCCTTGTCTTTACTCGCACAGCTCCCCGCTAATGTTGCCCTCGGTGGTGTATCTCAAGATGGGGGCCAAAACTTCTTTAAATGGATTACACTCCACTGAAACCTATTTAATTACACATTTGATCCCCAATAAACTAGTGATTCATATATTATGATGTGCAACCTTGCTGGCAAGATGGTAAACATTCAAATAACTTTCCTTTTTTAAACTGAGTTTAGTTTGATATTTACACTGTCCACTTGGAGCAGATGTGTGGGTTTAGTCTGGTTTAATAATTTGGATGTACCTCTAGTTGGCCATGGTGGTCTACATGATTTCATTGACTATTTTGATTTATATGGAAAACACTAAGAATTTGCAAAAGCAAAACACAGATGCCAAAGAGCCACAGTTCCTGTCAGAAGCCTGATGATGACGGACCTCTAAAAGTGGATTTCTCTGTTGAAGGAAGATTGGGATAGTAGGTTAATCACAGGTATTGGGAATCCTCAAGTGTTAACTAACTGAGAAGAGCCCTAGAAGTTGTGTGGTTGCCTTCATGGTGCACATTAACTGTTCTGATCTCTCACTAAAGGAACCAGAAGAAAGAGGGCGATCTGGCGAATGCGTTGACCCAGTGGAGGAGCGTCGAGGAGACGCTCCGCACCAAGGATGCAGAGTACACGAAGCTGCTGTCTGCAAACAAGACACTCGGTGACGACTTTACGGACCTGCAGGGCCAGCTGGAACACGTATGAACTAAAGCTAGAGTTATACATTGTAGGGCACTGGTCCTCAAACTCTTTCACGTCCAGGACCCCTAAACTGACACAAATTAGACCACGAACCCCCTTTTGAAATTATTTTGTCCCAGGATCACCCATCTGATAGGATTTTGGCTTTTAGATGTGTTATTCCAGAAAGTGCATGAAATGATGACTAAAGTAGTCATGGATTCAGTCACCAGGTTACTTCTGGAAGGAATTATAGTGAAAATAAATGATCCCCTTTTTGCTGGGGACCCCCTGGAGTTCCCTCAAGGACCCTACTGGAGATGTAATGATTCTTCATCTAGTTACCATGTCTGAGGTCATTAAGGTTAACTATTATGCAAATATAAGAAATCAATGTATCACTATCTAACAAACACTCTTCTGATGGAGGCCTGGGCTGGAAAGCTCAAACTACAACTTTTACAGGGAGATGAAGCCAATACTGTTAAACATTCAGTGTTTGAAATGGGCTAATATATTGTGATCGTGTGGTGTGTGTTACTGTATGTTTTAACTGTGTGTGTGTGTGGTCACCAGGTCGAGGCGGTTCTGACAGATGCAAAAAACCAACTGAGCTCAGAAATCTTGAGGAGGGTTGAAATGGAGAACCAGGTCCAAACACTCAAAGAACAGCTCGAACTCCAGAGGAACATCAGTGAGCAGGTACACACACACTTGGCAGTCTTTGCTATAATTCAATGCCCTCCACCTAAACCTAACTTTAGATTCAACCAATTCTTGTCTTTCAGAGTGTAATCTGTTCATTTTACGTATCGCCTCAGACTGATACTTGCACAGCTCACAGTTGTTTATGTTTTGTAGGAGATCCTTGAGATACGTAGCAGACACGAAAGCCGTCTAGTGGAAGTGGACTCGGGACGACGGAGAGAGTTCGAGAGTAAACTGGCAGAGACGATGCAGCAACTCCGCCACGATCATGAGTGTCAGTTGAGCCAGTACAAAGAAGAGATGGAAAGGACCTTCAGTTCAAAGGTACCGACACACAACTTACAGGGAGATTTTACCACTGGAAAGATTTTAATTTCATAAAACTGGGCTCTCTGTGCAGCAGGGGAATTTTGTTTTTAAATTGGTGCTTCATGACAAGAAAGAACAAAGACAAGGGACTCCCTTTTGCTCAAAAGGTAGACAACCGACAGCAGCCAGAATGCTCTAGGACTGTTGCATCAAAGGCCAGTGTCACTCCTAAACTACGCCAACGCCTACAAACAGCCGCTCAGAGCTTCTAACATTAGGCTAAACTCTGCACCACTGGGTAACACTCTGGTTTCTGTAATGTTGCTGTGCTCATAACAAACCCTTCCTCTGTGCTCAGACATCCATTGGCTGGCTTGAGTTGTTTGTTTTTTTTTCGAGTTTGGGTGTGTCTTAATGTTTGTCCATATGTGGCCCAAAGCTTGGTGGAACGCACAGCGCCTCCGCTTCGGTGTCCACATTAATGGCAGTGGCACCAGCAGTTGTGCTGACAGGGGGCAGCTCTGGGACTTGACTGTAGCGGCTGCCTCCTCCATATGCTGTAATTCCTCCGCCCTGGATTCTGGCTCAAAAGTAGCCAGAATGTCTGTCTGATTCCATTATTACACTGTTAAAATAGTTTTTCTTCCAGCAGTAGTCTTGGCCAGTTGGTTTTGGACAGGATAGTTTTTGAGCAATTCAATAAGATTTAATTACACCAATATGTAAGGATTATTAAGAAATTACATTCTTGTGTGTGCATAACAGGCCTGTTATACCAGGTGTTGAACACATCATGGAAAGGATCCCTACGAATGACGCCCTTTGTTTTTAACAGGAAACTGAATTCTCACTCTGAAATCTCGTGCTTTGTCATGTGGAGGCATGGCTGCAGTCGGATAACGAGCGTGCCAGCAGACCTGGAACCAGCTAACCACCTGCATCTTGACTGGGAATCAAATAATAAATAAAAGTAGCGCATTTAATAATAAAATAATTATAAAAGTAATTTTCCTCTAAACTCTACTCCAGTGAAAGGTATACTGTAATAAACATACTGTCAAGTAAAATTTACAGTACTAAGTGACTGGAGTACATGTAATGGAGTAAATGTATCTCATTACTACCCACCTGGATGCAGGCAACATGAAGGGAAGATGACCATGGCTCATTTGCATATACTCCTCACATTGCTGATTTTCATCCAGCTTGGCATCATTACAAAGTTTCACTTTAAGATTTGCTTAAGTGTCAAGATTTACTACACATTGTTTAGTTTATGAAATAAAATAAAAAAATGTTAATACTTTTTTTGTTTTTTCCTGTGCTGCAGTTACAGAATGCCCAGCAGGCTGCCTTGGAGAAAAACGACACTGCGGCAGCGACCAAAGACGAACTGGAAACCACCAAGCTCAGAGTGGAGACTCTCAGCTCCCAGCTCCAGCAGTACCAGAAAGATGTAAGTGCAGTCCATAATAAAACACCAAGACATCACCGCCCACCTCTCCGATTTGTTCAGCAATTAAATACGTCTGGTGTTGTATTCGCCATTTCTGCTGGTTAAAGAAAGAATAGACTGAGATTGACGCTGTACTATTGGTGTAAGTGAACATTCTGGGAAAAAAATCTTACATCGACATTTCTTTGACTGAACACTTTGTCAGACTGAATTAAATTCCACAAAATGATGAGTCAGTCTGCTCATTAGGCAGCAATGTTGGGTCTGTTAGGACATAATGGCTAAACTTGGAGAACGTGTTAATGTGTGCAAATAATACAAGAAACTAGTAGACAGTCAAATCTGCACACTTATAACAGGGACTGGATGATCCAATAAGATGTCTACATGGATTGTTCTAGAACCTTACCATTGCGTTTCCTGTTTCATCGTACAATGCTCCCTCCACCTTGTTAAATCAGTGTCCCTCAGGTATATCTTCAAACCAGAGCATTCTATGCAATAGCGTTGTGTATAGCCTGGTAGTTTCAGTAGTCTTCGTGAAAAAACTGAGCTGCATTTAAATACTATGTAACGTTACACAGAAGTGTCATCATAGGGAAAGGAAGTTGGTTTCTAGCTCGTGTTGCTAAATGACAGAATGTTGGGAGAGGGTTGTGTTCTTGTCTTTGACATGCATCATCAAATAGCAGAAAAATGCAAATGGTTGGATCAAAGTATTTCTAGGCTGAAATGAGTTGTCCACATCTGACTCTTCTTACTCTATGAGCATAAAGCACATTAACACAGTATAGTGTTTAAAAGAACCAATCATAAGGCAACTCGGGTAGCAATGAGTGCAGTGTACATGTACAGAGAGCCGCTTATCTTTTGAAAATCCTCTTTAGGTTTTAGACCCTGGCTTGTCCAGTGTTGCTCTTGTATAGGCCTGTCACAATAACATTATTGACTTATAGTACGATGGGTAGACATGACCTTGATCATCTTTGTTGACCTCAATAGGCAGTCATGTTTGCATGTTTACACAAGAATGTCACCAGCATGTGAATAAACAGCAGGAGTAAGACTTGGGCACGGCGCCCAGCCAAATGAATTCATTTCTGGTCGCACTGCTTCTGTCCTCCAGCCGTCAGTTGAGCAGCACAGTTCAGTGTCTTTCCACATTTGGTGACAAACATTGCATTTCCTGAAGCAGATCATCTGATATCTGAATGTACACAGAGGAATGTAGAAAATCCAAACCGGATATTCGGCTAGAAGAATGTACTAAGCAGAGAGAAAAGACTCTCTAGCCACTGGTACAGCCAGCCAACACATGCCATTTCGGCTTTGATTGTCACGACGCAGCTAAAGTGTGCTGACCCAAGCCATGGAAGAATGGCGCATTTAGCAGCCAAACAGATGGAGGGTTTTTTTGTCCTTTTTTTTTTTTTTTTTTTTAATGATTGACATGATACATGTGTCGCATAGTCTGGGGAAAATGAGTGATCATAATTATAAATGTTCAAGTAAATGATTTGCGTATAAATTTATTTCATATCTAACATGAGGGGATTTCAAAGAACACAATGTTCAACAGTTTTAATCCAATCTATAACAAAACTGCATTAAAAGCAAGCATCTTATTTACAATAGACTGGCCATGTTTTGCATTTGGCCATACGGTGACAATGATGTGCAGGTAACTTAATACAAAATGATTTAAAGGAACAAATTTTAGGTTTTTTGTAGCATTTGCACATTAATACTAAAACACAGCTGTTGACCTAAGTTAAGTTACAGGTGATCTGACTGAACGGCCACACAAACCTACAGCTTGCTACAAATACACTTATTCACTTTCTTGCAGAGTTGAATGATAATCGCCACCACTCTAAATATGAAGCTGCAGCCAGTTGGCTTACCATTAAACTTGAAACGGGGAAGCAGCTAGCCTGAGTCTGTCCAAACTCGCCACCTAACGCTAGCTGTTGTTTAATCCATGCAAGTTATATTACATGTGGGTTATGTAACAGAAGTGCTTACAAATATATTTTATACGGCAGGGCCGGTACTACAAAGCAAGTCCGACATATTCAGGATGTATTTGTTACGTTGCGTCAGTCTGTAGGACGATTTCTGTATACAAAAGCATCTCTGAATCACCCTCAGCAGCCCATTAAACAGTCTGCAAGATTCCAAATGGTGATGCTATTTTCCAAGAGAACGGAGTGGTCAGTAGGCGGAGCTCTTAGTGTTCTCTCCGGAGCAGGTTAGCCAGTCAGCTTTAGTTACCATGGTGATGTAAAGTGAACCGCCATTGCAGGACTGAAAACCCAGGGTTAAACTTGCTTTGTAGAAGGCCCCAGTCTTTGTTTTTCACCCAGGTTTGGGAGGTTAGTTTAAATTGACATGAAAATTCAGGACTGGACTTGGAACAGTTGAGCGAGTTTATACCCGCAATGTGACCTTCATTTTTGTCTTAATAATGCACACACCACCTCCCCTGCATTAGTTGCTTCAGTATTTCAACCACTGTGGTCATTTTATGGTTTCAGCCTGGCTAAAGCTTCTTGTTGAGCTAACTCTTGTTGTTCATCTAAAACCAACAGATTCTCCTGTTCATTGATCATCTTTGTTTTTGCAAGTATTTGTGCCTAACCTCGTTGTTACATGGCATCTAGGTAATGTTGTCGAACGGTTCTTTCATGCTAACATTGGTCTTATTATTCTTCATTTCTCAGAAAATGATGCTGGAGAGCCGCTTTCAGGAGCTGGAGAGGACTCTTGACAGGGAGCGGGAAGTTTGGCAGCAGAAACTTTGTCAGAAAGAGCAGGAGATGCTGAGCATGCGAAGCCAGATGTACAGCCAGCTGGAAGACTATGAGAACCTGCTGGATGTGAAGCTAGCCCTGGATATGGAAATTAATGCCTACAGGAAGATGCTGGAGGTGGAGGAACAGAGGTATGCCTGTCATCTATGTACATCATGCAACAGTTGAGTAGCATCCTTTTTACCATCTGATTTTCTAAAGCAAAAACATTGCATACTTTATTTCTCTCAGATTGCACCTTTCACCCAGCCCCTCACAGCGTGTGACCGTAGCCCGAACACATGAACACAGCAGCCGCAAGCTCAGGGGACGGAAACGGAAACACGAGGGGGCCTCGGGCAGCTCGCCCGCCTATAAAATAGCAAGTCGTCCAACAGAGCATGGCCTTCTGAGTGTTGCAGAAGTAGACATGGATGGAAAATTTGTTAAATTGAAGAACAATGCTGAGATGGTAAGGCTGTACTGCAGCTGGATAATAGGTTTTTGGAGATGCTCTTTAGTATGATCGTTGGTTAAAATGCCCCAGTTTCACTAAATCATGGCACAGATCAGTTTATTTCTTGTAGGGACACATGTCCAAGTCACTTCACTTCATGGTTGGCCTCTGAAAACTGTTATTTAGTCATTTGTCCCGCAGGTCTGGAGGAGCTTTGTCACATCTGAGGAAAATAACCCTGGTGAGATCCTAGTGATGCCATCAGGGTTGGACATGGACTAAAAGTTTGTAACAGGAAGTTGTAGAGATGAACACTTGTCTGACAGGGGAAGTTAATGTTTTATTGGGAAATCAACATAATTGACTTCAGAAAATAAATTTAAATAAGTTATTGATATTGTAGACTAGCTTTTCACTGAAGTGTTGTGGATGCGTCGTACAGCACCACCCAGAGGGCAATGTTGGTGAAGCCGTGCTCCCATTAACACAGTGGAGGACTTCAGAACACCAACTTCCGTTACTATTAACGAACTGAGACACTCAGGCTGTGGTGGACAGTAAATCACACTTTAATGTCATTGTCAGGCAGAAGACTGACATGAGGCGTGAGAATGCAGTATACACTCACCTCTCTGCTTTGCTTGTTCACTCAGACCAGTTTGCAGCTGAACTGCCTCTTAGGTTCATAAAATTTTAAAGTGGACTAAAAATGGGAATGAATTGGCTCCCTTGCCTAGTCATTGAATGACACCAAAAATTGGAAATGAAAGATTCCTAGCCCTAAATTTTAATGAAATATACTTAAAGCATGGATACTTATTTTCAGCATTATATACAGCATTTCCAGCTTTTTCTCTTTTCTACATTTCCAGGAGCAGCCGCTGGGTGGCTGGGTTGTCCGCAGGACGTTCCCAGACGCTGGAGACATCTCCTTCCACATCCCTTCCTCCTGCGTCCTGGCTGGTGGGCAGACTCTTACCGTGAGGAGTTATTTATGTTAAATAACTGTATTTCCCTCAATTCACTGGGGAAATAAAACTCATATCACTGTCTTGGGGGGACTTGCCAAATATATGAAATAGAAATTAATGGGGTGCATGTGTGGGCAGATCTGGGCAGCAGGAGCAGAGGCGGAGGCTGAGTCTGGGGACCTGATTCTACAGGGGCACAGGAGCTGGGGCCCCGTAACTGATGTGAGGGTGACCCTTGTGAACCCCAACCATGAGGTAAGTGAAGTGAGCTGCAGCCGCTTGTCTCTGCTATCTCACGGTGTTGGCTGTTGCTCACCGTAGGGGTCATGCAATACCTTTTCAGGAAGTAGCGGAGCGCAGGATATGCATGACGGGCAGAGGTGGCGAAGAGACCGAACTGGAATTTGATGAAGAATTTGTCGCAGGCAGTGACATCCAGCACTTTCGGAGACAGGTAAACACAGACTCTCAAAACCAGCCAAAAACCACGAAGTTCCATGACTGCAGAATGACGTGTAAACGCTTTTACAGATGCAACACAAGTGCTTTAGCTTATGAAACGTGACGTCAATTTTATTTTTTCCCCTTTACACTGAAGCCAAAGAGAAAGAAGAAGTGTTGTTCTGTCTCTTGAGTGCAGACAGCGTGCTGTACTGTAGGTGAGGAGGGTGATGCTGCCTCTGATTGCCCTCTGCTTGGTGTGCTCTAGTCTGTGAACGAATCACAAGATGCATGGCTTGTTTAACACTGTTTGCTGCTGCTTTTGTGTGTTTTATTTAGCAGCATGCCAAACATGTTGACATGAGTGGAAGACTAGGGACCAGCATAATGAAGCAAGTTCAGTTCGGTCTGTCTCTCTTCGGGTTACCTGGCATCCCTGAGCTTAACAGTGGTGATCTGATAACTGGTAACATAAAGATGGTTATCAGTTGACTCTTAACTCTGGGTTTAACTAACCAGCCCCCTGTGTGTTCATGTGGAACAGGCAGTGTTCTTGATTACAAGAAACACCAGACCATGAATCGACTACTTAATATGATTGACATTTTGTTGTTGCAACGTTCACATTTCCCCATGAGTATTCCTTTTTCATTTCACGAGTGGTGAAATGTGTACAATAATTTCTGGTATCACAGAGCAGGCATACCAGGAAACCTGCATTAAGCCCAGAGATGGCTGGCTAACCCACACACTTGCTTCATGGTACAGGCCCCTTAGTCATAAATGTTACACAATGATTGGTGACAAATTAAAACCCAACATGTGTTTGAGGCTCTGTTCCATCATGACCCTCCAGAATGGCTTCCAAAAGACGTTCCTTCATTTGGTGTTTAAATTATGGAGGTGGAGAGCTCAATTTAGTAGGTCGCCCTCATGCCTGTAGGGGAAAAAACGTGGGTTTGTCTCTCTCCTCGAGGCTTGAGATGTGTGCCGCCTTCCACTTTGACGGGAATGTGTGGAACTCCTAATCAGCCAACTATTCCTTTTTTTTTTTTTTCCACGCTTTACTTTTAACTCAAATTTGCTTTTTTGATATAGAAGTTTGCTGCTCAGTGTTTGTCTGGCCCCAGAGATGTGCTCATCTTCTGCAGTACAGGAAATCCAGCTGCTACTGCTATGTGCTACATTTTTGCAGCGCATTGGATTATACAGGTGTACTGCATATGTGCAACTGACAGCAGCAAAGCTTGCTCGCATTGCGACACGTGATGTATAAAGGTGTAGTAAACTGAGATAGAAGGAATAGTATGTACCCAAATGCAGAAGCTAGCATGTCCTAACACTCACTATATGATCCTGAATCAGTACTTCAGTTCCTACTGCTACAGTAAGTTGACACTAGTGTTAACATCGGCACAAGGTAGGGACGATCTGAATGAGCTGCATGCAGAACTTGCTCGCTTATGTATCTTTGTTTGTTTGATTTTGGATGTAGATGCATGGATAGTGCACACAAGATTCAGACCCTTTCAATTTTTCAAATTTTATGTTGCATCCTTATGCTTCGTGTTTGTTTTTTCCCTTCATCAGTGTCTATTTTAAGTCAGTCTACACTCAGTAGCCCCACAAAGACGAAGCAAAAACAGATTTTCAGACATTTTCTTAATTTTTAAGAAAAACCTGAAATATCACATTGGCATAAATATTCAGACCCTTTTGCTGTTACACTTGAAATGTAGCTCTAGGTCCTCTGTGATAAATTCAATTAATTGGGCATGATTTGGACAGGCACTCTTGTCCATAAAAGGTTGCACAGCTTCCAAAACATATCGGAGCAAAATCCAAGGAACTGCCTGCAGAGCTCTGACAGGATTGTGTCGAGGCGCCAAGAGCACAAGGGCCTCCATTATTCTTAATTGGAAGGAGTTTAGAGCAACCACAAATGAGCAATCAGGGAGAAGGGCCTTGGCAAGAGGTGACCAAGAACCCAATGGACACTCGCTGAGCTTCAGAGATCCTGTGAGATGGCAGAAACTCCTGAAAGGCCTCCCATCACTGCAACAACTCGGCCCATCTATGCTTTATGGCAGAGGGGCCAGACGGAAGCCTCCACTCAGTGAAAGACTCATGAAAGCCTGGAGTTTACAAAAAGCACCTTGAGAACTCTGATTGTGAGAAAGATCTCATCTAATGAAACCAGAATTGAACTGTTTGGCCTCAGTTATAGGCATCATGTCTGCAGGAAACCAGGCACCGCTCATCACCAGCGCAATACCATCCCAACAAAACACAAAGCAGGTGGTGCAGCATCATGCTGGGGGGGTGGGTTTTTTTTTCTTGTGTTTTTTTTTTTTTTTTTGATAGACAGCTAATTCCTGCTTGAGATTGAGTCACCCTAGCGGTATGGGCGGATATTTTGGCTTAATCTCTGTACAGTGGGTAGAAGTGGAGATGCGTTCATCTTTATATACAGTCCAACCCAACAGAGCTCGAGAGGATCTGCAGAGAAAAATGGCAGAAAATCCCCCTATCAGTGGCCTGTACTACGAAGGGAGTCGAACCTACACAGTTAACTCAGGGTTATCAGGCAAACTCGGGCGTTGACAAACTCGGACTGCCTACACTGGAGTTAAACGGTACGACTGTGAATAAGATGTTGGTTAGTTGAGTTGGTGTTAACTTAACTGGAGTTGGTGCGCGTTAGCATAAAAGGGGCTGTGCAAGCAGTTTTTCACAACGGAACATGCTCTATATTTTCCCCAGTAGAATGCACGTTGATGTGTCAGGATATGAGGAGTTTAAAGACTAGTAGCCAGGGAGGCTTGTTGGCATCGCATTGAGTAAATGTGTAGCATAGAAAACTGTCTGTCCCCAGAACAGTGCCTCATTTAAAACGCACAATTAAACCCTATGTAAAAACAGCAGCTGTACAATGTCATTTTGTTGTTCAGAGTGGTTATTGCAGACGGTGTGAAAGATTTCTTGTAAATGTTTTTCCGGGCCAGTGGAACTTTATATCGTCTGCCTGATGGCAGTAACTTTACGAGAGGGTGAGAGGGGTCCCCTGTGATCAGAGCGGTTGTAAAGATAAATTATCTTGCTGCAGTGGTTTATTATGCAGGAGAGTTTGGTTTTGTTTGGCAGTGAGGTTGAGCCAGGATGAGCTGTTGAAGGTGAGAATGGATTCAATGAGTGAACAGTAAACCAGAGTTAAGATATCCTTGCTGACATGAAAAGTCTCTAGTTTCCTCAGAAGGTGGAGGCGCTGTTATGTGGTGTGTGTTTGTGTGTGTGTGTCTATATAGATAGGGACAGGTGGTTGACTGGGAAATTATATTGGACTTCACAATCTGATTTAGCAGTGAGGAAATAAGTGAGTTTAGCCCAATCACTTAATTATGCACCTTTAGAGACTTTTCTGTGAATTGGGTATATTCTGAAGAAAACAGTTATTATTATTTTTTTTTTTTTTAAACCTTAATTTCAGGGAATTTTTGTTCTTGTAAATTTGACACTTTTTTTCTTGGTTTATTAACCCCCTGGCTCTGTAATTTTTGGACACGTAAAATAGTCGATCTAAATATGTGAAAACACTTTAGGATAATTCAATTACAGTCTACAGATGGGCTGCATCTAAAACTGTCCTGTCAATTAATGAAGATCTCCTCCCTAAAATCAGAGGCTGCAGTACTCGCTGTATGAACGTAATGCTGATGTTTCCTAGCTTAATTTCTTCAGCTGCAGCCGCAGTGGAATTAGTCGGGATGAAATCTAAACACATTTTATCAAGTGGTGTGTATTAATATCCAACTTCTCATCATTAACACTGAGTACAGATGTGGTATGTGACTCATGTATACAGGGTAACCTCGAGTTACCCACAAACAAAACCTTCTTGGAGCAGTTTAGAGATGCGGCATACATTGCCATGGCAACAGACCTCAAGTAACACTTATCCACCTTTCATAGTACGGGTTAATCAGGAAGTTACTCCTGAAGTTACCTGGATAAGCCAGTTACCTCACTTTATAGTACAGGTTAGCTGTTCAACATGAGTTACCAATCGGCCACCAGGTGTGCAGAGCTGGTTGCATCATCCCATAGTAGACTCGAGGCTGTAATCGCTGCCAAAGGTGCTTAAACTAAGTCGGAGTTCATGGTCTAAAATACTTATGTCAGTGATCTTTCAGTTTTTGTTTTAATGAGTCTAAACTTCTCAAATCCTGTGTTCGTGTTGTCATTATAGGTAATGACTGTAAATTGGGGAGAAAAATGTTTTAAAAAAGCAGCACGGCTGCAACATGACAAAGAGGAGAATGTGAAGGGTCTGAATACTTTATGAATGCACTCTATATGACGCTAGCATGTGTCCCATGATGATAAAAGTGATCGGTTTGTTTCAGGATTTATCGAAGGAGGTGAGCTGTGCAGTCATGTGACTGCTTGTCCATCTCCTGCTATTCTTCACGTTCGCTTGGAAAACCTCTCCTGCCATCTGGTTCCAGTTTCGTGCACCGAAGTCTTGTCTCTGTCAAACTACAGTAGGACAATGACATGTTAGACTGTGACCAGCTCAGACGCCTTAGAGCAACAGTATCAACCTCAGTATTCCTCACTTGTGTCATCGCTCTTACCGCACAAGACATCATAAGCTTTGCCTTGATTTCATCTAATTTAAATGAATGTATGTGTGAAATAAAATGGTTTGCATAATAAAGTTATAAATGCAGTCACACTTGTGGCTTTAAGTACTGAAGACTGTTAATTGCAACATATTTCAATTATAGTAATTTGGAGGGGAAAGCTGTGTACTTGAAAGTGCTCCCAGCTCACGATGGCTCACAACACTCATGTCGAATTGCTGGAGGAAGTTGGGAAGCTGGATGGATTTTTAATGAGACAAATTGGTATGTTCACCCCCCCCCCCCCCATAAAGTTATCATTTTCAAAAATACCTTTTCCAACACTTTCTGGCTTTGCTCTAGTGGTATCAACACCATTTATCTAGTGCACAGTGGGTCTTTATTTTTTTTTTTTTTAAATCCAGGTTTTCAGAGATCTGGTTCAGATTTCTAGATTCAGCCCTGTATAATTTCATCTATGGTATCTATGGTACTGACATCATTGACGTTGTACAGATTTGCCCTGACCAAGAAAGATCTCCTACATTACACTCAAATCAAATGGGGCCAGATATATTTGTCTTTACAGTTTAGATCTTTTACATGGTTTGCAGTGTGACGATCCTGGATCAGAGCTAATGCAAATGTTTTTTTTTGTTTGTTTTTTTTCTCTCCACACCACCGATGTGGCTTTAAGTCAGTTGGTCCACAACTTTATGCCAGATTGTAATGTCCCAATGACCTTGCCATCCAACTTGGAATAAACTAATAATTTAGCTGAACCTCTGACCTTTAACCTAGTATGGCTGTAGACACTTATTTGAAAACCATACAACAAAGTGTGGCTGTAGCTGCGTCTACTGTAGCCAAAGCATTCATGTCCTGCTGCCCCTCACCATTACAGTACATGAGTCCAATTCACCAGAAAGACCAAAATATTAACATCTCTGGTTTCATTCCATATGGGAGCCCTTGTAACTGTACATGTCACACTTGTCTTTCACCATGATTTAATAAAAAATAAAAATGCCTGAAGCGTACGTGTGGTTGAGGAAAAACAATTAAAACATCAAATGTGATTTTACATTCTTACATGGGAAGGAGCAGTTAAATGCTGTGATATGAGTTGCTGATGCTCACCATACCGCCTTGAATACAGGTGCTGGTCATAATTAGAATATCATCAAAAAAGTTGATTTATTTCAGTAATTCCATTCAAAAAGTGAAACTTGTATACATTTATTCCACACAGACTGATATATTTCAAGTGTTCATTCCTTTTAATTTTGATGATCATAACGGACAACTAATGAAAACCCCAAAATCAGTATCTCAGAAAATTAGAATATTGTGAAAAGGTTCAATATTGAAGACACCTGCTAAAGAGGCTGGCTGTTCAGAGCTCTGTGTCCAAGCACATTAATAGAGGAATTATTTTATTATTAAGAGAGGCGAAGGGAAGGAAAAGATGTGGTAGAAAAAAGTGTACAAGCAATAGGGATAACCGCACCCTGGAGAGGATTGTGAAACAAAACCCATTCAAAAATGTTGGGGAGATTCACAAAGAGTGGACTGCAGCTGGAGTCAGTGCTTGAAGAACCACCACACACAGACGTATGCAAGACATGGGTTTCAGCTGTCGCATTCCTTGTGTCAAGCCACTCTTGAACAAGACACAGCGAAATCAAGGTCCCAGAGTCTGGAGGAAGACAGGAGAGGCACAAAATCCACGTTGCTTGAAGTCCAGTGTAAAGTTTCCACAGTCAGTGATGGTTTGGGGTGCCATGTCATCTGCTGATGTTGGTCCACTGTGTTTTCTGAGCTCCAAGGTCAACGCAGCCGTCTACCAGGAAGTTTTAGAGCACTTCATGCTTCCTGCTGCTGACCAACTTTATGGAGATGCAGATTTAATTTCCAACAGGACTTGGCACCTGCACACAGTGCCAAAGCTACCAGTACCTGGTTTAAGGACCATGGTATCCCTGTTCTTAACTGGTCAGCAAACTGGCCTGACCTTAACCCTATAGAAAATCTATGGGGTATTGTGAAGAGGAAGATGCGATACGCCAGACCCAACAATGCAGAAGAGCTGAAGGCCACACACAGAGCAACCTGGGCTCTCATAACACCTGAGCAGTGCCACAGACTGATTGACTCCATGCCACGCCGCATTGCTGCAGTAATTCAGGCAAAAGAAGCCCCAACTAAGTATTGAGTG